CTACAAGCATGCAGCAACTACTGCGGATGTGTGCCAGCGAAGCAAAGACCAATGACAACTGTCCCACGTCCACCTTGACTAAAAGTGCCGAAGAATGATAGCGACCGCACATGTATGCCGGCGCGAATGCGTCACACAACATTGATGCTTGGCTGCAAAGAGGCACGTTAGCGAGTTTAAACTGTCTTGCCACGTGATCTGACCTCAGTGCTAAGCGCATGCTTCGATTTTGTGTCTATCTGTCAGAGTGGCGAAAGACTGAATGGTAGCTCGTCAATGCACTTTCGGCATGTACTTTCGCGGCAAGGATCGTAACATTCGTCTGGTATGCAAGTGGGTTATGTAGCCAGATTCGGTTACCGCGCTTGCCAATAAGTAGGAAGTAAAAGACGCCACATAGGAATGTGGTGTACGAAAGTGGTGAATATTTCAAGTGGAACGAGAGCAATCTCTAGGGTCTGAGTCAAATGCAAAACAAATAAGTGTGTGAGTCGACCAGATAGATTTTGCGTACGAGTATACGCATGAGACCGAAATTTAAAAAGTACATCAAGACAACCACTGGGGATTTTTCAAATCATCGCGTGCGTCTAAATTATGATCCAGAAAGAGTAGAAAACAGGCAAAGAAAAGTCAAAAATGGTGGGGATTAGAAGGGTGAAACAATGGCGAGTACACTTAGAGAAATAAAGGGATCAGGAGTCAAAACAAGGAGGTAATGAAACGGAAGGAGCTGTGTGAATATCTCTGGTGTTTGGTTTGCAAATCACACGCCCCAGGTTCGAGACTATGCTCCGGTGCTCTACCACATCACATCATGAGTATAACCGCTTGTGGTTACATGCCAGTGAAGTAATGGTACACAGTACCAGCGCAACATTGATACCATTATTCGAGAGCGATAAAAACGTCAAATGACAAGGTTCCCACCGCTAAATGTGTCACCAATGGAAATGCCACAGCTCTTTCGGACACACGGACACACTTGTGTCTGGAGAGGCTTCAAATCACGTTGGCGAAAGTCAACAAACGATACCAATAAAGTGCGAAAGTGCAGAGGAAGAATAGAGTGCAACAAGGAGTAAAAGATCCCTCAGTTTAAGTCGATTGGATGAAAAGGATGCGGAAAGTGGAGCACAGTGGGTTCCAATAACCGGATTAGAGACATCGGAAGATGAAAGATGGATAAAAAAAAGGAAGAGGCAAAAAGCTAACATGAAAATTGTGAAATCCTAGAGCTATAGAGTCTGTAAAGTCCAAAGAGGGCATTGATCATTCAGCCAAACTGGACTACCTGTCTGAGGACATGGTATCTCTATTCGCAAACCCCCCACTTATATCCTTACAGAAATTTACATTATGCATTACGAAACGACGCTTAATCCTCGCATTATTAGTATATACTTGACTCAAGGTTGAACTCTTGACAGAATGCCGAGTAGCAAGGTACTAAGCTGTACCGTTTCTGAACGCTGCCACAGGTCTTCCTGTTTCCGCCCTGTCTAATTACGACTGCAAACCTATTCGTAACTTGATAACTGTCGTTAATTTGAATCATACGACCAGGATAACAGGAATTCACGTTTTATTTTCTCTGCCCAGACAGTGCGTACACTATAGGTTAAGTAGCCTGCAGTTCCCTCATATCCACTCTGGTGCGATTACTTAGTGTAGGCTAAGTATAGTTTTTTACAGGGCCAGTAGCTAGAAAAGACCGAACTCAAGAGCACTACTAAAATTGTGACTACGAAAATAAGACTTGTCCCAAACTATTGATCAAGCCGATCTTAAGGCGTATGATACAGGTAGCAGAAGACCTGGTGTTAGCGAGACCATACGCGACCAGAATGTGCAGCCGATCCACAGACTGTCAAAACGCTTGGAGCGTTGCAAGGCAAAGTAACCAACCTGTTATCGCTTTCTTTTTCCAGAATTAAGCGCTCTCCACCCTGGACCGTCGCCTTGGATCCACCCACACGCGCAGAAGTCAAACGTGAGATCAGGCTGTTGAAATTGCATAAGGCCGCAGGGGCATAGAGAATTCCCCCAGCGCTCTTCAAATTCCGAGGACCTGCTCCAGTAAATGATTTACACCAGTTGTTCCTGAAACTTTGGGAGCAGAAGACTGGACTGACAGACTAGAGCCGCTCCGTCACTGTTCCAATTTGCAAGGGAGACTCCCGTTCGGAATCCCACAATCATAGAGGGATAAGTCTGATCTCAATCGCCTCTAAATTGCTTACGTCCGTCACTCTCCACAAACTTACAGGCACCCGTGAAAGCCAGATTGACGAAGTGCAAGCCGGGTTCCGTTGAGGTTGGGGCTGCATCGAGCACATCTTCACCTTGCGTCAATGGTTGGAGCACCACCATGTTTATTGGCGACCAACCGTTGTCGTGTTTCTTGACATAAAAGGTGCCTTCGACTCAGTCGATCGGTGTGCCCCTGGGGTCTGTCTGCTGAGGTAAGGTGTGTCTGATAAATATGTAAACATTATCAAAGCGCTGTACGCGCATACCTCCAGCAGAGTGACAGTTTATGGCAAAATGTCGCCACCCTTCAGTATCAACAGCGGTGTGAGACAAGCTTGCCCACTGTCACCTTTCCTATTTAACTTCGCAATCGACGAAATCATGGAAACAGCATTCGCTGGATACGACCTAAAAGGTGTGGAGCTACTTCCTGGTGACCAACGTCTTGACTTGGAGTACGCGGACAATATTGTCCTAATCTGTGACGGCTCCCAAACAGGCCAAACAGCACTGGACCGATTAGCACTGGCTGTCAATTGTTTCGGCTATGCTTCGATCCATCGAAATGCAAAGTAGTTTTCCAACGTTGGCAGGGACCCACCCCTGCGCTAACGCTTTGCGGTGATAGCCTAGAAGTCGTTCAGGAATTCAAGTACCTGGGCAGCTATATTAGCGCCGGTGAGATCGAACATGAGGTTACAAACCGTATAGCAAAAGCTCGAGGTGCTTTTGCCAATCTCCGCCACCTGTCGCTCAGACGCGACATTACGCTCACCCTGAAGGGGAGAGTTTATAACGCAGCCGTCCGTTCAACTCTCCTATATGGTTGTGAAACCTGGGCCATCAGGTCGACAGACATAAACAGGCTCGTCACATTCGATCATCGTTGCCTTCGTAACTTAGCTCATCTCTGGTGGGAGCACCGCGTGAGCAATCAGCGTGTTCGGCGTCGCGTATTTGGTGCAGGAAGAGCGAGTGAACCGCTCAGCACCATTATATCACGCACCAGGCTCCGATGGCTGGGCCACGTGTTGCGCATGCCAGCACACCGACTCCCGCGACGTGCATTGTTTGCGCGCTGTGGGTGCGGTTGGAAGAGGATGAGAGGCTAAGCGATGACTTGGTCGAGAGAAATGAAAACCCTTACTACGAAGTTGGCGTAAGTTGGTGCATCGCGACTGTCTGGCTGGGGTCTTAAGGACGATGAACACGTTTGGTTGGACACACTTGCTGATACGGCTAGAAGCCGGCCACAATGGCGTTCGTGTTGAGAGTTTCTTTGTCCATCCCCTCTTGCATAGCCTCCCCTACAATCACAATCTCATTTGCTAGGCATAATAAAGCTCTTTTTTACGGCACGATAACGGGCTGTTAGTTCTCTGGAACGATGTTCATCCGTTACTGGGGACTCAGCCGGCGTGCCACTGTGATACATATTTTTATTCTCTTTGCCTTTAGTATTGCGGCACAATAGCTGAGGTGTTTTCCACCTGCGGCTAACGTGGATGATGAATGAAGGCAAAATTTGTGGGGGTGTGACAGCGAATGTGGAGTTGTGGGCAGTTTCCACATGTAGGTTCGATCTATGACTTCCTGCACACAACGAAGCTTCGTGCAGCTAGCAACATGCGCCGAGCAGTACACACACGAAAGACGAAGTGGACAGTCCGATAGGCGACGGCGAGAGCAGCATAAAAGATTAACCAGTCGGGCGCCACAGCGCTTGCCGCTGAATGATGTGGCAGTTGGCTTGGCACTTTGTCATCACGGTGGTTCTAGCAAAACGTGTAGCTTTAAGTGATATAAGAGTGAGATGAAAAAGTGTAAGACACAGAGTGCATGCAACCTGTCCACACAGGAGGGCCAGACTGTTATACACCCGACACTCGTTGACAATGGCGATAAGATAAGAAAAGCCGCAAGACTTGTCAACGCCTGTCCCAAGTTTTCCAATGGGTTGACCATCAGAGATGGCAAGTGAAGTGGTTTAGTGTTTTAAATGGTTGTACTGTGGTCGTGGGAAACGAACAGTGGCGTTACAACTCCGTTCCGCAGGAATGCCTTGCAGTGTGGAAGTATCAAACAAATGTTAAATCTGGCAGTGTCCTGCACAGCGCATTTAGTAGTGTTTGAAAAGGTGCTGAATACGATAATAAAAAGTCTACCAGCTCCTGTGCAAGCCATTCAATTGGTTGCCTTGACGTAGTATCGTTCCGCAGTAAGTAGACAAGCCAGCGATAGTCATGATCACTCGTAGCACAAAGTTAGAGTAGGAAAGGGAAAGAGGGCTTCTGTGAAGTGCAATGTGTCAGTATGTTTGAAGGAGGAATTCCGGTAGATGTGTTCGCTGCTCCCCGGCCACAAAAGAGTTTGAGTACAGCAATCCCGGTCGAAGTAGAAGGATAGCGAATGGAAAGCTTAGACAACAGTAGAAATGAGTAAACACAAGAATGAGACAAATCGCTTGCTGAATCAAGAGCACCGGTGTCAAGACAATGTGTACAAATGGATGTCGTGGATTAGACGAGCGCAGAGAGGAGACCTACTTATTGCCAACAGAAATCTACTACATGACAGGAAAGTTGTGTGTGGATATATATGCGAAGAAATGCTCGAAGATTAGAGAAAAACCTACGACAAACACGAAGCTGGCGAGTTGATCTGGACAGTGTGACTCCAGTCAGGGAGATGAATGACGTGTATTGTGGTGAGTATAAGAGCAAAAGCAGCAGAAAATAGAGACCCACCTTGACAGAAGCTCCGAAGTTGGTGAGCAGGAAGATTTCTCTGGCTTGAATGAACAGTTTCTCTGCTTGATCAGCCAAGCGATGTGCGACGTCAGAAATGCGATCTTTTGGAAGTGAGATATCGCGCTCAAGGTATTCTCTGGGGCAGAAAGGTTGAAAGGTAATAGTTAGGAAAGCAAAAACGCACAAGATATGAATCAGAATCCAATGCAAATACAAAGACGTGGCCTTGGAAGAATATTTGAGTGAACTTGGACTGGCTGCGACGTTACAGACGCTCAGCGAACTATAATGATGCTCTGATTAAGAGTGCCGAACGGCGGGAGAAGTTAGTAGCCATTAGATAAAAGTGAAAGTAAATGCTTCAGTGCGTATTTAGATAGCCCATCGAACGAGACTGAACCATAACGTGGTGCGATAGTTTGTGTACCTCCTTGACCAATGAGCTATACTGGGTGGAGCCTCCGGGTCCCTTGAGAGCTACCAGGTTGGTCAATGGTTAGAGGTCAGACAAACATAGACTCCTGGTCCTCCAGGTCGACGGATTGAAATGGGATGGCGTCCATTATTGTAGAACTAAAACACTGCAACCACCCCGCTGCCTTGCGGACAGGTTTTTGAGCCAAAGGTTTTGGTTGAGGAACCTAATGGTCCGCTTGTCTACGTCTGGACACCCTAGCGGTATCTCAGCCCACATACAATCATGACAATTTCCCCAACTACTAACCACATTCTGCAGCGGCCGTCGCGCAGATTATCAACGGTCGCCTTATCAGCTGCATCAAGCAGCCTGGATAAGCAAATACTACTGTTGCCGTCTCCCTTGTTTCTTTTTCACCTGTTACTCTTATTCCCATCCCGACCTCCATTACTAACCTTCCTTCCATAATTCCCAGCTTAAATAACAGCAACAGAAGTGCCACTGGAGTAGAACTATCTGCAGCCACCATCCCACAACACCCATCGGATGCCTATCGGCAACAGTCCCTTATAAGGTCACGCTGTCTCATTTCCCTGGCGGCGTTCAACATTCGCATTCTAAGACACATAGGTCAACAGGCTGCACTCGCACGTAGGTTGGACACACTAAGTATTGACGCATGGTGTATGTCCGAAACCAGGATCAATGACCCTAATGGGGTGGTTGAATTAACTGCGCCTGGCTTGTCCTCTCGCTATTGGTTGCACGCATCCAGAGACGCCAATGCAGCACTCACGTGTCAAGCTGGGGTAGGTATCATTCTAAGCTCCAAGTCGAAGCCATAGTCGTTTGAGTGGATTCCGGTGAACAGCCGTTTGTGTGCAGCCCGTTTGACAACATCGACCAAGGTTTATTCACGAGGTAGTACAAAACGCTGTTTGTTTGTGATTTCCGCTTATGCTCCCACCGACTGCAGTCCTAATGTTGTCAAGGACACATTCTATCACGAACTGAACGCCCTACTACGCAGTGCTACTAGTTCAGATATTATAGTACTTGCAGGGGATATGAAAGCACAAGTAGAGCGTCTGAGCTCCTCAGAAGTTCAGCTCGGTGGTAATTATTGGCTTAACTCCGAACGGACTGACAACGGAGAGTGACTGCTGCAACTGCTTGCGGAGCACCAGTTGTTTCTTAATACCACTGTTTTTAGACACAGTGGGCGCCGAAGTGCCACTTGGCGTCCTCCTGTAGCTGGCCAGCGATGGACCCAAATTGACCACATTGCCATAACTTACAGGTGGCGTGGTTCCATCCTGGATTGCCGTTAGTACTGAAATACCTGAGTCGACTCTGATCATGCCTTGGTACGCTGTCGTTTCTCCATGAACTTTACCGAGTGGTGCACCAATCGTCTCCTCTGATTGGCAACTAAGAAATTGTCTCAGCCCTCGGTCAGGCAAGCATATAAAGGCGCGCTGTGTACCGAACTTTCTCTGTCTTGTCCTAATGACACTGAGCTTCAGTAGAGTAGGATCTCGGCCGCCATGCACGACGCAGGAGCATCTGCTTGTGGCACTATCCATCGTCACCGCACCAGTCGGTGAAGTTGTTGGAATCTAGAAGAAACCTCCCGGCTGGTTCTGGTTGTGATAACAGAAATAGCAAAATTCATTTAAAAATATTTTTCTAATAGTTTCTCTCCGCGCACTAATCCCCACCAGTAACTACAGGTCAGTGAAATGAATTGCGCGCGCGCACGTGCTTGCTGTTTACGAAGGTGTGTAAGCAAGGCTGAGCCGACTTTCTGTTGCGGAGCTGGCACAGCCCCGCCAAACTTGCGGAGATTTCGCCTTGTTGGTTCACCTCAAACATGCAATCCCCATCCGGCGACTTAGACTGCGCAACCAACACCCGATTCGCCCTCAGCACTTTGAAGCCTATCCAGAGTGAACCAACTGAGCTTTACTCAGAACAGTGATGCATCTATTGTGCAAGGTGCAGTGAACCTAGCGAACACTGCGGCAGTTACGACACAAAGCTACAATGACATTAACTGAGTTTTCCTCCGAACACTACCCATGTGTGACACTCATGTGCCAGTCAGTCTTCCTCATTCGGGTCTCACTGCGGTAGCGCTAGGTCACGTGTATTTCGTCTCCAGTCTCAGCTGGCAGTGTTCCACCAGTCTGTATTTCCAGTGATGATGATGAGGAAGGGGGGGTTATAAGATTATTGGTGTGAAAACACATTTAACTGACATTTGAAATGGTGGAACAGTACCGCCTGAGCTCGCGTGCATGTCTGGCGGCTGCCACGTTAGCCCGCAAGTTTCCGTATTCGAGTGGCTACTCTGCGAGCGTTGGGTACTATCTTACGGGTGGATATCCGGTTGCTTTGTGTACATAAGGATGTTTCTCCTTATGCGCATAAGAATCAAATGCCTTGCCAGCACACATTTGTCGCTATGTTTGGCAATAGCTGATGTACGTTATTCGCTTCGTTGTTGACAATCCCATGTCGGTTGCTTGAACTACGCGGCATTTTCTTTCGTGTTTGTCTCTTCTGTCCTTTATTTTACCTGTTACTACCGTTTGCTACAACTTTCCTGTAATGTATGTGTGTCTAGTGAGTACTGCCATTTGCTGAGTTTTATTTGTTTTCCTCATTGGTTTTTGTCAAGAATTTTTCTGCTGTTAACTTTAGCCATCCACGGTATTTTCAAAGGCTATGGAAACAGCAGAATTAAAAACCCGAAGATAGTAGTGGTCGCTGTTTTCAGAACTTGAGCCGGGCATTGGAGTAGTAAATCCTACGCAATGGACCTGTATTTACATCTCGAAGACAGCAAAACAATTAACGAAGTGTCCACGAATAAAAGTGCTTGTTTGCGACCGGTACGATGTAGAGCATAGGTAATTGACTTGACGGGAAACGAAATCCATGCAGGCATATTGGAAAATGTGGCTAGATCAAACGAAAAGTAAACAAGATCGGCTGCCTGCGTCAAAATGAGATAAACAGTCGATTCATTCAAAAATGCTGAATACTGGATGGAAGCTGTATTCAAATCTCCCAGATACAATGAGCGGTTATGATGCAGAGCTGGAAAGCAAAGTATTTTCACAGGAAATTCTTGAATTTTGACGCCGCCTTTTCCTCTACTACGTGCGGCAGTGGGTTGTTTCGTATATCCATTACTCTCTGTTCGAAGCAGAGTTGGTGGATGACCCGCTTCGAATCCGGCAGTACAATTTGTACCGGTCCCCTCGTGTGCTGTTTGGTGTCAGCATATGGAGCAGTGATCTCAACACGGGTGGCCCCTTCGTGCTTCAGAAATGGAAATCGCCGTTGCCGTTGGTAACTATCGTAAGTTATTCCGGCTGATACGGGAAACGAGCAACAGGAGACCTGATGTTAGTGAAACAATTTGTGACGAGAGTGTACAGCCTATCCACAACTTGTCATAGTGCTTAGAGCGTTGGGCTGAACAATTAGAAAGTCAATTTAATCGGTCGGGATTGTTAGATTGCTCGTCGGCCATTGATCGCCCCGCTCCCTGGACCATCCATTTGGATCTATCCTCTCGCTCAGAAGTGGAACGTGAGATCGCCGCGGGATCTGATGATCTTCCTCCAGCCCTCTATAAATTCGGGGGACCTGTTCTTGTGGATAATTTATGCGAGTTGCTAGTGAAACTGTCCCAACCGACTGGAGCCGCTCCGCCAGTCCCAATTTTCAAGTGAGGCTCACGATAGGAATGCAGCAACCATAGAGGAATCAGTCTGGTCTCCATCGCCTCTAAATTGCTTGCATCTGTCATTCTTCACAGACTGATTGGCACTCGTGAAAGCCAGATTCGTGAAGAGCAAGCCGGGTTTCATCGAGGTCATGGCTGCATTGACCACATCTTCACTTTGCGTCAGTTGTTGGAGCACCGTCACACATATTGGCGGCCCACCGTTGTCGTGTTCCTCGATATCAAAGGTGCATTCGATTCGGTGGATGGACATGCACTTTGGGACTGTCTACTCAGGAAAGGTGTACCTGAGAAATATGTAAATATTATCCGAGCATTATACGCGCTAGCTCAGGTAGAGTGAGGGCTTACGGCCAGCTGTCGTGACGCTTTAATATCTCCAGTGGTGTGAGACAAGGATGCCCTTTGCCACTTATCCTCTTTAACTTCGCTATTGACGAAGTCTTGGAAATCGCATTCACAGAACACGACTTAAGTGTGGATCTGCTGACTTGGAGTATGCAGACGACATTGCCCTAATCTGTGACCGCCCGCAAAAGTGCCAAGCGGCACAGGACAGAGTAGCACTAGCTGTCCGTCATTTCGGGCTTTGCTTCGCGCCCTCGAAGTGCAAAGCGTTCCTCCAAGATTGGTCTGGACCGCCTCCTGCGCTGACCCTTGGTGGGGATCAGCTAGAAGTCGTTCACTACCTGGGAAGTTGTATCAGTGCACGTGAGATCGAAGATGAGATCACGAACCGTATAGCGAAAGCTCGAGGCGCTTTTGCTAACCTTCGTCACTTATGGCACCGGCGTGACATCACTCTCTCCTTGAAGGGTAGAGTGTACAATGCAGCGGTACGTTCTATCTTATTGTACGGTAGTGAAACCTGGCCCCTTAGATCAGTGGACATAAAGTGGCTTGTTACCTTCGACCTCCGGTGCCTTCGCAATTTAGCACACATATGGTGGGAACACCGAGTAAGCAACGAGCGTGTTCGATGCATTGTTTATGGCACAGGAAAAGAAAATGAACCGCTCAGCACCGTTATTTCCGGCACCAGGCTCCAATGGCTCGGCCACGTGTTACGCATGCCAGCCCACCGACTCGCGCGACGTGCGGTGTGGATGGAAGAAGAGGTGGTCAAGAGATGACTTGGTGGAGAGGAATGAAGTCCCGCACTTCGAAGCTGGCCTCAGTTGCAGCGTCTCGATTCCCAGGTTGCGGTCTGAAAGACGATGAACACGTTTGGCTGGATACACTTGCTGACATGGCAAGGAGCCGACCTCAATGGCGTTCGTGCTGTGAGTTTCTTTGTCCCACACCATCCCTCTTAGCCACCCCCTCCATTCATGATCTCACTATTTAACCTTATATAGTTTTGCATAGTAATTTTTTGTTTCTACATAGTAGCCGGCTGGTAGCTTACCGGAACCGATGCCCATCGGTTACCGGTAGCTCAGCTGGCTTGCACCTGTTGCATTTCCCCCTTTTTCTTTTATGTACTGCGGCATAGTAGCTGAGGTGTTTTCCATCTTTAGCTAACGTGCATATAATAACAATAATAATAATAATACTCATTCGTGATTCTCGCTCGAATGAGACAATAAGGAATGTAGCAAATGAACAAGAATCTCACTGGTTGTGCAAGTGGAAATTACTCAGGAAAATGGTAACAATCAACGGGCTACCGGAATTCTTTAGCAAAGCCGCACAATAAATGAACAGGTGTATGACACAAGGTGGATGCTTTTAGAAATTAATAATCGAATAGGTATATGAGCTTCATTGAATGCGCGGACTACTAAAATGCTTCAGAAAGAGACTCACTTGATCAAAGGACTGTCAGTTTTCGCGACGTAATAATAATATAACCGCATGAGATTGACTGCGACGATGAGTATGAAGCCAGCGTAAGCCAGGATTGAGATGGCGGAAAGACAAGCGAAGCAGATTTCAACCAACAGCAAAGCCGCAAGGACTGCAGCCGAACGAAGAGGGTTCCTCCAGTACAATAAGGACTTTACTGTCAAAGTGAAGCGTACAGGGATACGTAAGAACATTTCAGGATATCAAATGTGATACGCGGTTTGCAAAAGGCCATGCTTTCATTAAAAAATATGATAACCGGAATAATATCCATCCATTAGGTTTGACATCGATTGCGGAGCGTGGTTGTTTACGACGTAGTGTATCTGACAGGAGTCTAGCGAGAGCGGCCTTACTTTTACACGGTACCTACCTTTTAGTGTGTGACAATGGCAAGGTATAACCAATCTTATTCCTAGTGGCAGATTAGGATTGTTTAGGTGCCATAGCACGTCCCCCTATTCTCTCCACCTATACGTATTATTCCCTACTGGGTAATAGCGAAGCATCAGTACAAAGTGCTGGTGTGTTGTTGCTGTTGTCGACTTATCCTGGTTAACATGACAGACAGAAAGGATATCTTAGGAACACGCACACCGCCCCCGAGTTCAGCAAAGATGAATAGGAATAAAACGAACTGGCAGGTTGGATGTAACACAGCTAGTGTCAGTCAGACGGCAACTAGACATCCGGAAAAGCCCTGGAAGACAGCGCCATTTTCGGAAATCGCCGAAAATACACATTCTAGTTGCCTCGTGTGCTCAAAACCCCTGACCAGGCACGACAATGGAATAAGCCAATCTGTGGCTTAAGGTTGGGAAGCTGTTGCTCGGGGGGAGGTATCTTGTCCACTGCATAGTAGTTACGCGAAATCAGTGAAGAGTGAGCCGCGCTGTAACAGTCTTTGCCGTTCCCCGTGACCCAGTAGTCTTAACACTGGACTCGGAAGAGTAGAGCTGCAAGTTCTGACACCATAGGGGATGGATAAAATACGCAATGCCGACGATTCCCGAGGGGGGTGAGGCAGCCACCTGGCACTTTTTCGAACATGTGATGACGGTCTGATCGAGTCCGGTTATGATGAATCTAACCCATGCCAGTAAAAAGCTTATGACGATCGCATATATAATATCCTGGGCACGAATATCATGCATACAGACAGTGCCAGGCGCAGGTGCGACCAACTGTAAAGGTGACCACCAAAACATGGGTGGGGAGTCGCGAATATGAGACTAGGTGTTTGACTTGTTACGTTTGAGACCGGAGTTCGAGACCCCGACTTTTGCATGGACTCAAGCGCGCCGGAAGTATTCTAGCCAGTGTGAAACCGTTCGCTGTCACACGGCAGAGAAGCATCAATTTTGAGACTTTCAGTTCAAGCCATAGAAGACACAGATGGTAGTCAGACTGTTGCAGTCAGTGTTGATTCCGCCCGTACCTTATGAGTGGGACATGTATGGTGAATGGGCCAAGCACCAGAGTGGAAACCACTAGGGTGGTTTTCACTGGTGACACTCACATGCGGATCAGTGAATGGGGGTATGATATGTGTAGTCAATTTGGAGGTAACGGAAATAATGCCAGCGGCTAGATAATTCTCGCAGCACGCTTATATGACTCTACTTGAAGACGGTGGTGAGAGCCGGAAACCGACAGCCTAAATATACCTTCTCAATGTTGAGCAGTCCGGTTAGTCCAGCTAACCGTAATGCAGTAACAATAGGATAAGTTCTTCAAACCTATGCATGATCATGTCTGTGAGACCAGTGCCTTAAAATGGTCCACACGATTCGGTAGGTAATAGCAACGTGGCTGGTGGACCGAAATATTCCTAGAATCCCATCGCTGTGGTAGCGCAATTCGATTAGCTTATGCCTGAGTGCAATGGTACAGGGATCAAGTATGATCATACTCATGCGATGTCCGAAGCATACTTAACCGCTACTGTAGCAACGTTTGTTGAGCGATGACGAAAACACTTGACAAAGTACCATGAAGGGGATCCTAAGAAACGGAAGGCTGATAAGGTGGTTATCAGTACATCGGCATAGTCCCCATGGAATTTTTCAACTTACTCTCAGTTCTCATTGGACATTCCGCTGTATTCGTGTTCCCATCTGCAATAAGTGATGTAAACAACAACAGGTGGTAAGCATAAGCGAGGAAGCTACGAAATGAGATCAATGAAGTTGATTACGTGAAACAATTGTGGGCCATGGGCGCGAATTCGAATAGTCAAACAAATATACCGATGAGGCAGACCGCGCTAGAAAGCACATGGTAGGTATGTTGGACAATGGCATAAGGAGGAGAATCTGCGTGTACTGGTGAATCAAAAGTGTGGATCGATTTGCGGTAAATCTGACATTTGGAATTCCGTTTATATTGCGACCCTTCCACCATCGCAATCAACGTTTCTGCATACACAAAATACAATGTAACAACGACCAGTGAAGCTAGAGCGAAGTATTGTAAACGCAATAAGGTCTTCGTGCACGGGATTCAATGGTGCCAAACTTAACTACGGGGTTCAGTTAAATGACGCCGTTGGTAACACCATTAGAAACGGTGCATGAATTCCCAAAACTAACATCATTTTGATGGGACAATGGGAATGACTTCATCGTAAGAACCTAAAGAGTTGCCAGATGAGTTGCTGCATGGCGAAGGGTTAGTGCCATTTCAAACTATCGAAAGTAAAGAAAGCAAGAGTGGAAAAAATTGTAAATGGCAACCGGCCTAATCTCCGAGCTGTAAGGTAAGAGGGCTATAGGAATTATGTTAACGGCCAACCGCAAGGTCTGAAGTTCAGTTCAATTCAGTTAAACAAGTATGATAGTCACCAAAGTGCGCTAGGTCCAGTAACCAAGACACGCGTCGCCAGGATAGCATAAGCTGAAGTAGAACCGCCAGCAAGAGAGTTAGGAAGTGAGCAAAAATTACTGAAACGGAAGCTAGAAACCAAATGTAAGAGGGCTCGTGAATTCTCGGCCAACGTGGCTCACAGTTATGCGCAAGTGCCATGCCAAGGCCTGTAATCACTTGCTTGATTCATCTCGAAGCAAAAATCATACACACCAGTCGATTTCCTCATTCTTTTATACCACATAGTCTACTGGCCATTTCACGGTTTCATTCAACTAGATGTAGGGACAGCATATATGTACATGATTTATCCGAAAAGCAGTGGCAGTTGTTCGATTAAAAAACTTTTACCGATCCGATTGGTACAACACAACTTGGGCTACCGGTTAATATCTCGCGCAATGACAGAATCATGGATCCAACAACTACTACTATTATGTAGTATTCTTCTGTTTTTGCGTTCACTGCTTACACCCTTCCATCACGCGCAAATACCACCTCCGTCAATAATTCTTTTGAATCTACCTCTGTTGACAGTTTCGCCCATATCCAAAGAATCCGACCAGAGACGCACCTTCGACCTTGATTTCCTATTCCGCTGTCAGCCTTCAACGTTAGAACCCTAATCCAGATCGGACAACAAGCCGGCATTCTGGAGTCCCTTACTAATGATGTCTGTTGTCTTTCTGAGACTCAGTTACAGGCAACACCGCAGTTAAGTTGACGTCCCCTGCTGATTTTATGACATAATATCCCCTACATTTGTCTGGTGACACAGAGGTTGCTGCAGATGGCTTGGATGGCGTTGGCATCGCATTAAGGGACAAATCTGAGACCTCGCCGCTCGATTGATTATTGATAGATAGCCGATTGTGTGTAGTTCGAGTTCAAGGCTCATGCAGGACCAGTAGGCATGGACAGAGAGACATAATTTGTTCCGGTTTACAATCCAACTGACTGCAGCTGTGCATGGGTTAAGGACGACTTTTATCGTGGACTCCACCAGCTTTTGAGTATGGCTGAAAAATCCGATGTCGTCGTCCTTGCTGCAAACTTCAAGGAACATATCGGTCGCCTGCTAACATGCGAACGTCGTCTTGGTGGCCGTCATGCTCTTGTTGAGTTTCCCTGATAAGGTTAGGCTTCTCACTTCACGTGAGGACATGGGGCTCTTTCTCGCGAGCACGTACTTCAGGCGTTCAAGAAGCGCCGCCACTTGGAGTCTACCTTCGCCAACAAGAACGCGGACATAAACTGATCAAATTGAAATCAGTTTCAGGTGGCGGGGCCATGTGAGATTGCAGGTCAATTTGGTCCACCTACCACGACACAGATCACGCTATGGTAGGTGCGGACCTCTGCATGCCCATTGGTGTTATCTAGAAAGTAAAGCTTCGTACGCTGGATAACAACAAGCTAGATAAGCACACAATTTAACCGGCCTATCAATCTTCCTTATCAGATGCGCTCGTTAGGACGACAGTTACAGATGTCTAAGGCTACTAGAATTTCTTGCAGAATGCGTTCTCTGGGAGGCTGGATTTCCGATATCTCTTTGGAATGGCTTGACCTTCGCCGAGCTATTTCAGTGACCGCAAACCCAACCAACGACCCAAGCAAAACTTGTGCAACTATCGAGAAAGTTTGTGATCTCAGGCGTGCTTCGGAGATGGAGAGAGCAGCTCTGTTTGGAAATTTTCGCAAGCTTTTCCAGATCATTCGGATCACTGGCCACAGAAGACCTGGCGTCAGTGAAGCTACTCGCGAAGATGATGGATCACCCATCACTAATTTACTTAGACGCATGGAGCGCTAAACTGAGCGCTTTCATTCACAATTCTGTTGGCTTCCCACTGCCTATCTAACAAGCAGGCCACCTTGCGCGAATTAGAACGTTTCACCGAAATTACACATCGAAGCGGAGATCTGTCTTGAGCTTCGTAATTGGAAGAGATTCAAAGCTGTTGGCTCAAATGAATTTCCTCCGGAGCTGTTCAAGTACGGTGGAGAGGCAACTGTCGAAAAGTTAACAGCTCTGTTCTTCAAGATCTGGTATGAGGAAAAGGCCTCATCCTCTTGGGGCGAGTCGATTATCGTACCCATCTTCAAAATGGCTGCTTATATTCCATGCACCAACCAGAGGAGTCGGTTTACTATCTGTCGCATACAAATTGCGAACATCCACGAACATCGCGCAGGCCAACACTGATCCGAAAACTACAATCCCGTGAGGAACAGGCTGGTTTCCATCGCGGTCGAGGGTGTATTGACTGCAATTTTACGCCCCGCAGCTTCTTGTGCAGCGCCACCTCTATCATCAGTCCGCCATTGTCCCCTTTTTAGACATCCGAGCTGCGTACGACGCGGTCGATCGATCTGCTTTATGGCGTTGTCTGTAAAGAAATGGGTGTCCAAAAAGTATATCTCCATCCTCCGAGCTTTATAAAATTATGTCTCTGGCAGAGTGAGCTTACGGTAAAATCACATCTTTCGTCGTCACTAGCGGTGTGCGACAGGGATGCCCCATATCCCCGTTTCTTTTCAGCTATGCGATTGTGCATGTCCTATGTCATCCACCCGCCCCCGTGCTGATTTTTAAAGGCGTGCAGCTCGAACAAGTAGATAGCTTCGTCTACCTTGAGAGCCGCGTTTCTTCTGATGGTACCACTGGAAGAGAGATTTCTCTCCGTATTCATCATAATCATCATCACCACCACCATCATCATCATCATCAACATCATCATCACCACCAGCAGCATCACTATACACGTTAGCTGCGGGTGGAAAACACCACAGCTAATGTGACGCAATACAAAAGAAAAAACAAAAGCATGAAACAGAGGCACGCCGGCTGAGTCAGCAGTAAAGGAAGGACCTGGTTCCGGAAAGTTAACAACCGACTATTAATGCCGCAAAACAGTTATATTACGCCCAATAAATGAGGTCGTGGTTGGAGGGGGCTAAGCGGGACGGGGATAGATAGAGAAACTCAACACGAACGTCATTGACGTCGGCTCCGAGCCATGTCAACAACTGTATCCAAACAGATGTGTTCATCGTTCTTCGGTCCCCAAGTAGGGAGCCGAGATGCTCCAACCGAGACCAACTTCGAAGTCATGGCCTTCATTCCTCTTGATCAAGTCAATGCTTGGCCACCCATCCTCTTCTTCCATCCGCACCCCAGGCGCGCATACAACGCATGTCGCGAGAGTCGGTGGGCTGGCATGAGCAAGACGGGGCCCAGCCATCTGAGCCTGGGGCGCGAAATGACGGTTCTGAACGGTTTGCTTCCTGCACCATAAACAAGGCGCCGAACACGCTTATTGCTTACACGGTGTTCCCACCAGACATGAGCCAAAGCACGAGCAGCTTTTGCTGATCTGAGGTATCTGTAGCGTCGTCGTGTCGTTTCATTCTCGGTAAAGGTCAAGGTCTACAATGCTTGTATTTGCGCGGTCCTATTGTACGGAAACGAGTCATGGCCGATCCGTGCAAATGATTTGCACCGGATTTCGGCCTTTGACAACGAGTGCAAGTGGAGAATAGCTCGTGTGTGATGGGAACACCACGTTTTCAACGATGATGTTAGACGTCGCGTCCTTGGTAATACGGGGCTTCCTCTCGGCAAGCTAATATCGCTGCGCCAACTGAGGTGGCTAGGTCACGTCCTACACATGCCATGCGAGCGTTTAACCCGGCGCGTTCTATTCGCTCGCGCAAGGCAATACTGGAAGCAACCGCGCGGTGGTCAGCCTAGCACATGGGGACAAAACGTCAAGGCGTTAACTTCCAGTCTTCCGGGCTTGGTAGTCAGAAATGAATAACCGCTGGTTGGAGACTCTTGAGGACATGACGCGTAATCGCGAACAACAGAAGGTTTGCACAAGTCTATGTACGGATTCTACCGATCAAAACCGTACTCACTAAACAAAAATACAAAACGGCGTGAAAAAATAAAATAGCTTTTCATATGTTTCATTTTGTAAGCGTTGTAGTTATAATGCATATTCATTCCACGGTTTTCGATGGCTCGATGTTAAAAGGCTTCAACATAAACTCTACCTGCGCCAATGCATCGTTTACAGTGAAATTTCCAGACATCGAAGGCCTTTTCTGGAATGTCCTTTAGAGACTTGGTGCTAGTCTCCTAGACTTCAACAACCGCCTGAAATGATGTCCTTTCACGGGAGTTTTCAAACGGCAAAACAAGAGTCGGTGAGACAATTCAAGACCGTAAAGCGGTTGGAGAACCGTT